ATATATGTATGTATGTATGTATATAGATATATACATATATATGTATGTATATAGATAGATACATACATATGTATGTATGTATATACATAGATACATACATATGTATGTATCTACATAGATACATACATATGTATGTATCTACATAGATACATACATATGTATGTATCTACATACATACATACATACATACATATATATATGTATATGTACATATGTATATATATGTATATCTATATGTATAGATATATATATGTACATGTACATGTACATATGTACATGTACTATATATATATCTATATGTATAGATATATATATGTACATGTACATGTACATATGTACATGTACTATATATATATCTATATGTATAGATATATATATGTACATGTACATAGATCTAGATGTACATATAGATGTATATGTATATGTATATGTATATATATATGTATATGTACATATATATATATATATATATGTATATGTATATAATGTGCAATTGATAAGTATTATTTTTAAGTAATTTAACTGAGTACAAGCCTATAATCATTTATAATTAATTAAAAAAATAGAATAAGCATATATTGAATTCTATTTAAATGACTATTCTAATATAAATAATAAAATTTAAACCCCATCTATCTTTAACATTCTATGTTACTTATTTGCGAACACAGCTCGTGTTCGTCTTGCCAAGCAAACGAGCCGAGCATAAATCGAGCCTAAGGGTCAAGCTCGATTGGCTCAATTATACCCCTACAATCTTTTTTAGTTATTATTTTTTAATTTAATTGAAACATAACTAATTAGAGAGCAACATTGTACAAACCAAATCGTAGCATAATCTCCTTTCATAAGTTATGGTAATTATTTGGCAAAAATGATTTGTTGATGATTCATTTTCCCTCTATTTTTTCATTGTAAAATATAAATAAATAAATTTACTTTTAAATTTAAATACTGCATTATGAGTAATTTATTCAAGCACTGCGTTAGATAAAACCAGAGGGGCAAACGAA